ACAGCAGGGTCACGTTCTCCCCTGAGGCCACCCTGGGGCCCGGCTGCACTGAGAGGGAGGGTCTGTCAGGGAACTGTCCTGGAGAGAAAAGGATGGGTGAGGGGCTGCCCCACCTTTTTCTGAGCTGAGACCTCCCCAGGCCTCTCTCTGGGACCCTCAGTCTCTGTTTTCTCTGAGTCTCCCCCTCCCCACCCATCCCCTGTCTCTGACTGTCTCTCCTTCCCTGGGGACCCCCACCCCTCATCCCAGCCATCACCACCTAGGCTCCCTGGCAGGGCCTGTGCAGAGCCTGGGTCCCTGACTGAACCCGCTGGGCTCCTCACCTGCAATCAGGATGTCCAGGGGGTCACTGGGGGCCGACCACTCGGAGGAGAGGTTGTGGGCACCGTAGCATTTGTACTGGCCCCCGTGGAAGACCCTCACAGGGCTCAGGGTGAAGTTGGCCTGGGAGAGCCCAACCTGGAACTTCTGGCCAGAGCGCTGGAGGAGGTTAACTCCCTGGTCCTTGTACAGAGCAAATCTGTCGTAGTCGACATCAGATCGACACTGCAGGGTCAGGCTGCCTCCATGGGCCACGACAGGGCCCTGCGGGGTCAGAAGGGAGGGCTTCCTAGACATGCCTGGAGGGAAAGAGGAGCGGGGACTCGGACGGCTGTTCCTCCCACACCCCTTCCTTCTCCTGTCCTGGCCCTGCAGGTCTCAGTGTCTGTCACATTCTGTGTCTCGGACCCCAGGGCCTCCTCCTCACCCGGGGCTGTCCTGGAGCCATTTCAGAGAAGTGGGGTCTCCCTTAGCCTTGGTCACTGTGCCTGATCTTCCCTCCTCTCCCTGAGAGCCAGGACCTCACAGCAAACACACTGGAGCTCTTCCTGAGTCATCCCTTCCAGGTGAGGGTGACCGAGGGCTCCACCTCCCATGTCAGAGCCTCCCCATGGGGACTCCCTCACGCCTTCAGCCCGTCCATCAACACATCGCTCTGGGTCCTCTCCATCTTTAGTCACCAGCCACTCCCAACCACCTGTCTGCTGCCCCAAAAGTATGTTAGAGAAGCTGTGGCTTCCTCACCTGAAGTCAGAATCTCCAGGGGGTCACTGGGGTATGACCACACCTGGGGGGTGTCTCTGTAATAGTAATAGCATCTGAACATCCACCTGTGGCTAGGGGTCATGGGACCCACAGGGAACAGGGCCTCGAACCACCCACTGGGGAGCTGCTGTGATTTCAGGGTCCGGGGGAGCTGGTGTTCTCCTTCCTTAATCAGAACAAAGTAGTGATATCCCTTCTGAGAGCCACACTGGAGGGTCACGTTCCCTCCTGAGGTCACCACAGGGCTGGGCAGGGCTGAGAGGGTGGGTTTGCCGTAGGCTCCTAGGAGAGAAGGAAGCACCATGTGAAATGGGGCTCACACCTCCCACATCACCCCCAGGGCTGGGCTGGGAGAGGGAGATGTCCCTGAGAGCCAACCCCCTTCCTGAGGGCAGAGCCTGGGGCTGGGACCCTGAGTGTCCTCTCACCTGTCACCACCAGCTCTAGGGGCTCACTGCGCTCTGACCAGCCTGCAGGGCTGAGATAGTGACAGCGATATTTCCCTGCATGGTGCTCTGACATGAATAAGATGGAGAATCTGGCCTTGTTCCTGGGTTCCAGTGGGTTCTGTATGTCCCAGGGTACTTGGGTTCCCTCTTTTTCCAGATGATACTCCTGGGCCTTCATGTTCCCCTGACACCAGATGGTCACGGGGCTCCCCCAAATGATCACAGAGCCTGGCTCAGTCCAGAGGATGGGTTTGGGGAGGGGCCCTGGAAGGAGATCAGAGACTGGATCCCAAGACCTCCCTCAGCCCTCAGATCCCAGCTTTCAGCTCCAGGACCCCCTGTCATCCCCATCAGCCACCCAGAACTGCTGTCTCCACCCCCAGCTGCCCAGGGGTAGGCCTTGTCCCTAGAGAGGAAGAGGAACCTGGAACAGCTGGGGACAGACTTACCTGCCTGCACGCAGGTTCTGGGGCTCAGACTCAGCCCTGGAAGAGAATTCCCTGTGAGAGATTTGCCTCTGAAGCCTGAGCAGATCCTCCCCTCCCTAGTGGCTCCTGAGCTTTTGAGGTCTCCTGATGGACTAGGGCTTGTGTGTGGGTCGGGGTCCCTCCAAGACTCAGGTCTCTTCTCTCCATCTTGAAATCTCACCAAGGCAGAGCAGGGCTGTGAGGGCGGGGGTCATGGTGTCGCTTCCCAGTGGCCCTGGACTCTGCAGATGGATGAGCCCTCGGTGCTGGCAGGACAGAGACATCCAGGGTGTGGCCGCTTGGAGGCTGAGTGCTTCTTGTCATGGGGTTGTCTCATTCACAGCCCACAGGAAGGGGAACTGCCCTTCCCAGGGGCCTGGCTCTCATTTTGGGCTGTGGTGGGGACAGGCACCAGGCTCTCTGCAGACTTTACAAAGAGAAATGGGATCTCCCTGCCCCCGAACCATTCTTTGTCTGATTTACCTTTATTTCATTGAGGACCAGGACACAGCGGCAAATAGCCCTGGTGCCTTCCTGAGTCAGCCCCTTTTAGGTGAGGGTGACCATGGGCTTCTCCTCCCTCTCACAGCCTCCTCATGGGGTCTCCTTCCCTCCTTCAGCCCGTCCATCAGCACAGCAGTGCGGGGTCCTCACCATGGCCATCGTCTCTCCAGCCCTGGAGATGCTTCAGGGAAGATGTAGGTCCGTGCTGCAGGCAGGCTCAGGTCAGCAGAGACACACCTGACACCTGGCTGTGCAGTCCAGGCTGAGCTGCGTGTGGCCGTGAGCACAGAGGAGAAATGCAGGCCCTACCATGGTGGCTCCCGCCTGGAATCCCAGCACTTCAGGAGGGAGAGAGAGAAAGAGAGAGAGAGAGAATCAGGCATCACTAGAGCTGCAAGGCTGCAGATATTTTTGCATCTGGAGTCTCTCTGAAAGCAATACTAAATGATGATGTAAGTCAGTGAGTAGAATAATGAACCCCAAATGGAGAAGGTGAGATGCTGCTGTGAGTAAATGAAATGAGCAGTACATACAAAACACTAATCCACATAGGTCAGTCATATGTGTGTACACAAGTACATACATTTCTACTAAGAATCTAAAAGAGCAAGGAAATGGATTCTCCTCTCTGGAGCCTCCAGAAAGGAATGCAGCTATGTGAAGGCCTCGATTTTATCCTAAAAGACCTGTTCAGAATTCTGACTTTCAGAACCATGAGATAATGAATTCATGTTGCTTCAGCTACTCAATATGTAGTAATTTGTTATGGCACCAGCAGCAAACCGATACTAATACAAACAGCAAACCAATACTAGCACTACTACAGCTGTTGTTTTAAAAGAACAGTTGGGCCGGGCGCGGTGGCTCAAGCCTGTAATCCCAGCACTTTGGGAGGCCGAGGCGGGTGGATCACGAGGTCAAGAGATCGAGACCATCCTGGTCAACATGGTGAAACCCCGTCTCTACTAAAAATACAAAAAATCAGCTGGGCATGGTGGCGTGTGCCTGTAATCCCAGCTACTCAGGAGGCTGAGGCAGGAGAATTGCCTGAACCCAGGAGGCGGAGGTTGCGGTGAGCTGAGATCGCGCCATTGCATTCCAGCCTGGGTAACATGAGTGAAACTCTGTCTCAAAAAAAAAAAAAAGAAAAAAAGAACAGTTGATGTTTCACACTTTTAAATCACAGTCTGCTGAGAGGAGAAAGTTATACACTTTCGCTCAACCAATCAGATGTCCTTCAAATTTACAAAGTGTCAATTGATACACAATGGAGGATTTGAAGAAATATTTATCAGACTTTGATTAAAAAAAAAAAAAAAAGCAGGTTTCGTAGCACATGCCAGGCATTGTGGCACACGCTGGTAATCCCAGAGGGATTACTCTAGAGGCTGAGGCAGGAAGAATCATTTGAATCTGGGGGGCAGAGGTTGCAGTGTACAAAAAAAAAAAATGCAAAGTGAGACTCTTGGCATTGGGTAACCCTTGTTCGCTTCTGGTAGTAATTTCCCACTAGGCAGATCGTCTAACCCCAGATCACCTAAAACTGCAGGCCCAGGACATGCATGTCTCCCAGGTGGGTGACCTGGAAGGGGGTGATGGAGGCTGTTTATTACGCTCTCCTTTTCTTTCCCAGCCCATGTGTTCTACCTGTGTAGAGATGTGGCATTTTCATTTGCAAATCCCATTATAGGAAAATAAATACGAACACAAATATTAAAAGGAAAAGCCATTTAGAGGTCATTCATGAATATGTATATTGTCTCCAGCTATCTATATCTGTTTTATATCTATGTCTATGACACCATCAGAGAGCACCCAGACTGCAGCGTCTCATCCACAGCTTTGTTCTTGCATCTCCTGTGAGCGGCCATTCCGAGGCTTCCTCAGCCCCAGCAGCACCAACCACTGCATTGCACGCACCCCATCTCAGGTCATCCCCAGGACATCACGTGGCCCTGTTCACATTGCCCCACTGATTTCATGGGTGTGTGGGACCCTCGAACTGTGATTAAGTCGCAGGATGCTCCATTTAAACAGGTGGGACCCTCTGATTCCTGGCGGACAGCCGCAATGAGCCCAGCGAAACCTATCTCAGCACCAGCATCCATCGCGGCCAGGAGGATTTGCTGCCCCCTCCTGGTGGGATATGCGCCATGTTGTCAAGCGGCCACCAGATGGCTCACCGATCCCCTCAAAGGAAGGCATCCCATCCAGAAGGCTCTGCTGGTCACTGGGGAGACTCTCAGCCAGTGGAGGCTACATGGTCCTTGGTGAGAAGGAGTCGTTGGTGTTGGGTCCATGCTGCTTCTCTTTTCTTCTTTTTTTTTTTTGAGACGGAGTCTCACTGTCTCCCAGGCTGGAGTGCAGTGGCACAGTCTTGGCTCACTACAACCTCCGTCTCCTGATTCTCCTGCCTCAGCCTCCTGAGTAGCTGGGATTACAGGTCCCTGCCCCTCACCTGTCTGATTTTTGTATTTTTAGTAGAAGTGGGGTTTTGCCATGTTGGCCAGGCTGGTCTCGAACTCCTGACCTCTGGTGATCTGCCCACCTTGGCTTCCCAAAGCGCTGGGATTACAGGTGTGAGTCACCACGGCTGGCTGCATGTCCTTTTTCTTGCTGTATGGCCATGACACTCATGGGCCCCTCCTGCGTGCACTGGGGCTGCTGAGAGAGCTTGCCGAAGCTCACTGTGTTCGTCACACCATCAGCGGATCCCCAGGTCAGTGGATTTTTAGCCAGTCCTTGACTAGTTTTCTTTCTGTCCATGTCTCTGTGCCTTACTGAGGAGGAAGTGTGTGAACTTTGTTCATCATGTGTGAAGAAGATGCTTATATATCTCTAGCAGATGTATAAGATTTGGGCTTCTTCAAGATCATGAAACAATTTACTCTGAGGTTGCTTAGAAAACAGTGCTGGCCTTAGGCTTCCTATCTTGAAACTGCAAGTCTATTTCCAACCTCATGCATGGAAAAGTGTTAGAATCTCCACAGAATCTGCAAGACCTCTATAGCACCTCCACGGGACCTTCACAGGACCTCCA